CACCCTGAACTAAGACACTGTTGATCTCAACTCCAACACTTCGACAGCTCTGAGGTTATCTCAGCCATTCACTTACCTATTCCAGACACACTTCCAGACTTGTTTTATATCAGGGGTTGTTCTAGTTACTGGGGAAACATGTGAACAGACAAAGCCTATGTCCTCATGGTGCTCACAGTTAAATAAAGGGAACTTGACAGTACCAAACCAATGACTGAAGGCAACCAGCAATGTAATGAATACAGGTGGGCAGGATTGCTTGCCGTTGTTTTAGAGAGAATTTGAGTAGGGCAAATCCCAGAATATTGTTTTCCCTGACAGTGATTTGCTAATATGCATCTGCCAACACATATTCACTTGCATTTATATTCATAACTCATTTTATAAGACATATTACATAATCCTTAATAATAACTATTATAGAAAAACACCATTATTGTATAATGCCATTAGGCTTAAGTTCATCATTTCATTTGCCCTTAGAAGAACACTACAGAGGTCTTAGCAGTCTGTGCTGAGTTAGGAAACTCAGACTCAACACCAAGCCATACGCCCAGTGATAGTTAGCATTCCTCAGCAGCTTTTCTGATTTTAAACCTAGAATTTTTTTATACCAGCACTTTTACCTCAAAACCTATTCTGTCCTATTCCTACAAGACAGGGTTCCAATTCATTCTCATATAATATTTCTCTCCTAGCAGCTAACTGGGGATTCTTAAAAGATTCAACTATTGCCAGGTGATCCCAGGATAGTCCAGTGGTCAACAATGCCTGAGAGCATTTCTCTAGGAAAGACACTTATTAATTTACAAACGTGTAGTTACACTCAGTAAATAGTTATAGAGAATCCAGCAGGTGCTAAGAACTATTCTGGGAGTTGAGGATACAACAAGATCAAAAGTAAGCTAAACATTAAAATTTGAAAACATAAAGAGAAACAAGATGCTGACATGGAGATATTTAAGTGGCCAAGACTCTCATACTGATAGTGAGGGTGTGTATAGAACCACATATCTTGATGATAACTAGGACACCCTTGATTTTCGTGTTTATAGTGCCATGAAGTTAAGAGATGTGTGCACAGGTAAAACTGGCTTTGACTCAATAGCAGAGCCAGAACAAAGACTTTAAGAATAAAGAACCAGAGTTCCAAGATAAAACCTATTTAGTGCCACACGTGATGAAGTATCAATGATCTGGAACAGAAATCTGCCAGTCCCTTCTTCATGTCCCGATCTGAAGAAAATGTGTATAGGAGCACCCAGGTCAGCTAAGGGTAACTTAGACCTACAGATGCTAAGAAAAGACAGAAGAAAAGTCGAATGAAAGGTAAAGAAGAAAAGAAGGAATTGTGAAACACTGAAGGAACTGTTTTAAGGTTAAATAGCTGAAATGGATGCGTGGGATTTGCAAGGAGCTAAATTCCAACATAGCTGCAAGTTCTTCCTGTTTATCAAGTTCTTGAAGACAAATGCCAAGAACAAGAGAAGAATTTCCCACATCTTCTCATAGAAAAGTGAATTGCAATCATTAAAAGGAAAGAATAGGCCAGGGCCATACTACTCTGAAAGTTATCTGTTCAAAGAACTCGCAAATTGGGAAACCTCTGAGTCTCTTAGAAAGACTATCAAGCTGTATTAAGGGAGAGTTCATGGAATTATGGAGTTAAAAGCACAAATATCACATGTTTACTCTGATTCATGGTAGTTAATATACAGAGTATACAAAACATTTGAAGTATATGGGTGAAATTGACATCTTTGGATTTAATTATGGTTTATAGCCCTTGTCTATATTCCTGCTGAACAGTGATCCTACTAATTTGTACTTTTTGAACTCTATTTAGTGAAGCATCAAGCCTTTGACTATAAAGTGAATTAGAAATGTTATTGCAAAAATTTAAAAAGAAATCAAGGAGAGGAACAAAGGGAGGGGGGAATAAGGGAGAGAAGAACAGAAGTATCATATTCTTAGAATTGTATAAAAGATTTACATTAAATCTGTTCTCTTTGTATGAATAAAATGTAAATTTAAAAATTTATTTCTGTGTAACAGTTTTTAAATCCATTCACAGCTTTTTAATAATAAGCATTTTCCATGAACTTGTGAAGACCCCACATACATCAAAAGCAGAGTGGGGTGGAGACAATAAAGTTCTCATTTGCCTACTACTTTTCTCATGTTTTAGCCTTTCCTCTTTCTAATTTGGTCTGCATTGAAAGGCAGATTTGTGCTACGAGCTAAGATATGGGTACAGTGTTTTATCATCAATTATAGTTTTTTTCTACTATTATCTTCAGAACTGCTTTTAATTTTTAAGCTATTAACTGACATTTGTCTTTTTAAAATTGTATTTGAAGGACAGAGAGACGGAAAGAGAAACAAACATCTTTCATCCACTGATTTACTCCCCAAATGCCCAAACAGCCAGGGCTAGGCCAGGCTGAAGCCAGGGTCCAGAACTCGATCCAGGGCTCCTTTGTGAGTGATAAAGACCCAACCACTGGCCGGTGCCGCGGCTCACTACGCTAATCCTCTGCCTTGCGACACCGGCACACCGGGTTCTAGTCCCGGTCGAGCCTCTGGATTCTGTCCCGGTTGCCCCTCTTCCAGGCCAGCTCTCTGCTGTGGTCAGGGAGTGCAGTGGAGGATGGCCCAAGAACTTGGGCCCTGCACCCCATGGGAGACCAGGATAAGTACCTGGCTCCTGCCATCGGATCAGCACGGTGCGCCAGCCGCAGCGGCCATTGGAGGGTGAACCGACAGAAAAGGAAGACCTTTCTCTCTGTCTCTCTCTCACTGTCCACTCTGCCTGTCAAAAAAAAAAAAAAAAAAAAAGACCCAACCACTTGAATCATCACCTACTGCCTCTCGGGGTACACATTAATAGAGAGTTAGGATTGGGAGCAGAGCTGGGCCTGGAATGTAGGCATCCTGATATGGAAAGTGGGAGTCCCAAAGAGTTTCTCAACTGCTAACTCAAATGTCCACCCCAAGTAAAATTTCTGACCTAGGTTTTCTACTTGGGTGTTATAGTATATATGTATATCTTTGTAGGTGCTTGGGTGTGTGTGTGTGTGTGTGTGTGTGTGATTTACTTAATTCAAGTTCACACTGACAAAGTCTTTAGAGAAATCCTCCTGGTTTATAAGTCTTATTTCAAAATTTCCAGGGGTATCCTTCTAGATTAACAGATAAAAGATGCATGGGAAATTGCTCCATTGTCTGAAAACATGTAATTGAGAAATGATTCAATATAATTGTGGGTACAAAAGTGATAAAGAACACCCCTAAATCCAATCCGAGAGAAATTCCACACTCAGGGTCACCACACCACAAAAATGGATGAGTGCTCTGTGGCATCCAGTGCCTCATCACACCCTTGGCAAGGAGAACAGCGCAATCTTTCTGATGAGAGTACAATTCCATCCCATGACTTAACAGTACTTAGGAAGCTTTCAGGATTCCTTAGACATTGGATAGTTTATGCCTTTAATCTACTCAAATAGGGGTATTTCTCAGGGAAGAGGTGCTCTCGCTGACAAAATTCTTTCAAAACTAACAGTGCAATCCCTGAAGCCAGCAGAAGCAGAGGCAACATCCAGTACAGAAGAGGAAGAACTTTGAATTCTCCTCTGAATTTGTCCTTTAGACTAAGAACAATATGAAGCAGCATGAAACAACAGGACTGGATTTTCCCTCTTTTGATCACCCCTGTCTCTCAATTCACACATGATTTATTGCAACAAAGCCCATCTGAAATGTCACTTCTCTAAAACTGACTCCCACCTAAAATTTATCTGCTTTCTCTATTTAGTCTCTGGCACTGAACACATGGTGTAAGATACTGTAATTATTCATTTACTGATCTCATTTCTCTTCCTAGATTAAAAGGTCTTTGAGCAAAGAGACCACGGCTTGCAAAGAGCTACCACCTTTAGTAACAGCACATAAAAATGTACCCAGTGATTATTTGATAAAGTGACCCATTCAACACATACTTATTACAGACCTACTATGAGTCTAGCATAACAGCTGCAATTCCTTTCTTGACATGGTTCACAGTCCAGTGACAGGAATGAATGGATGTAATGTTCCACAAATTTCAAATAACTATAATAAGAATAAAACATATGCCCTGAGAGGAGGCTCATAGCATGTCACAAGGAATTTTTATCTACAGAAAGAACACTGTTAGCTTCTCAAGGAATTTCCCTGGGGAAGTGGTATAGATATCTTAGGCAATCAAGCTTAGCTTAGATTAAGCAAAATGTACAGTGTATTTCTCTGATGACACAGTATTCTGAAAGAACTCTACCAAATCAAGTCTGATTCTTTTTGCCTCAGCAATTGACCTTAGAGACTGAACTTACACTTGACTCAAGCCCCCCTTGCTCTCAGACAGAGGTCTCAACACATCAGCTACAATAGTAATAAATGAGTAATGGCAAAGCCTCACTGCTTTTGTACAGCTACAACTAAAGGCTTTCAGGGAAGGAAAAAAAAACCAATCTTCTGAGCCTTAATGTTATATTCTGAGAATTTTCCCTCATCTCAAATAATGAGACTCTTGGGAACACTGGGCTTGGCATAGGCAAAATAATACATATGTTATATTTTAGACAAGGTACACACCCACAAATTGAACCACTTTTAGCTAGAGCTTCCCTACTAGCTAAAGTCAGAAGCACAGCATCCAGGATTTACACATTTCAAAGGCTTTTTTCTGTTATTGTATTTAATGTATAAAGAACAGATACCTGTGGGATAAAAGTCTCTATTAGAGGAGGAAACAGAGCCACAGAGCCCCTAAGTGATACACCAACCAGCTGAAGCCTGGACCTAAATGAAGCACATCTGATTCCAAGTCCAGCGTCCTTCCTGCTACCACCTATCACCTCATGGGCTAGACTAGAGGACAGATGCAGCCATCCATCTCAGCATCTCATCTGCTCTGAAATCCCCCCTCCATAGAATAAACAGAGCCGTGTGAACTTTACCTCTTTAAGGCAGCCCATGAAGTTGTTGCTGACGGGAGAGCCGGGCAAGTCAGCGGTACTTGGGCTTCCTCCCACATAGAAGAAGTCATCTGAGCCCAGCATGGTGTAGTCCTCTTGCGTGTAGCCCGTCGTGGTGAGAATGCCATCCACAGAGATTGTCACCTGGTAGAGCGACATAGGGACAAAAGAAAAAAACCCCAGCAATGACCTTACCATCCTATCAAAATCCAGTGGCTTCCCCTGCTTGTGATGTCACTTCATTGAGATTTTGTTGAGGTATACTCTTTCTAATTTGGTTTGATTTGGATATGTGCAGCCAAGTTCCATTTTCTGGTCTGCCTCCCTAAGCCCCAAGTCTCCAGTATCCCCCTGTAGACTCACGGGAGAGTTTGGTTAGAAAGGCCAAGCTGAGCACCTTATTCCGTCCATTGCACTCTTGACTTAGTCAGGCTAGAAAATGGAACCATCCTCAGACGATATCACTTGTCTCAGCTCATTGCTAACATGATTGTTTTTTCTTAGATGATTGTTATTTATGATGGTAATGAGAAACAGCAAAGGAGACATTGGATGATGGGGTTTGTTAGGGGTTGGTCTTTGGTTGTTGATGTTTATTCCTTTTTTCTTTTCTTTTTTATTTGTTTCTTTTTTGGCTCACACCACACTGACAAACATGCATTCGGGGAGGGAAGGAGAAGGTTCTCAGTTCTGATGTGTTATGGATGACACATGCTATGGAACCCCCAGGACACCAACCCCTGCCCTCCCATGACTGCCATCACCACCACCAAAAGAAGAAATGACCCCAACCAAAAAGGCAACTCAAAATAAAGAAAGTAATAATAAGGCATGATAATAATAATAATAATGCCCACAGGGAAGAAATAGCACCCACACACCCCAACATCCATGAAAAGGATAGAGAGCAGAGAGAAAGATGGCACCTCGAAGCGTGCACACACCACACACTGACACACTCATGCGAAAATTATCTGAAGCTAAGAGGGAAGGCAGAAGAACAAAAGTAGGGGAGTAGGAAAAGGTGAGGAGAAAGAACAGAAAGAATCAAAATCCACTTCACACTGGCATGCATTATACAAACCAAAGAACAGATGGAAATGATAAAAAATAAAAAACCTCACAACTAGCAGGTAAGCTTTCCCCTGCCTACCACCTCCCTCATTATAAAAAAGGGGGGAAAAAGGAAAAGAACAGAAGAAAAAAGAAAAGAAAAAGTCCAAACCCAACCCCAACTAGATGAAGGATGGGAGGAGAACGAAGAAGATTTGGGGGAGAGAAGGAGGTGGAGTCGGGTTGATGGTGGGGAAGTTGTTAGTCATGAAGAGGTGAACGAGGAAATGCTGAGGCAATGGGGAGTCCACAAGACAGGAACATGCCATGCAGAGGTGAGATGGAGAACACAACTGGAGGGGCTCTCTTGGGCCATATGGGGGAGAAAAGTAAAAGAAGGGAAAGGAAGAGAGGAGGAAGGAGAGCTGCTTCCTCTCCAGATCGCCTGTGGCAGCTGTGGCCACACAAAAGGAAAAGAGAAAGGGGCATTACAGGAGCAGGAAGGAGAGGAAAGACAGGGGGAAGAGTGAGGGGAGAGGAAGGCACTGAGAGAAGAAATCCTCACTGTAAATCTGTCGTCCCTCATCTGTCTCTTGGAAGGTGCAAAATAAGAAAACTAAGTAAAACAAATTTAACTAAATGGGAAAACTTTCTTTTAAAAAGATTTCTGTAAAAAAACAAATTAGGGAAAAAATTGGAAACTGGAGAAAAGGAAACCATCCCCACCAAACTGGATCCAAAATACCATTTTCAGGATGGGTGCGTCCCCTTCCGTCTTTTTTAAAATTTAATTTTAAAAGAAAAACAAAGGCTTGCATTTAATTCAACAAAAATGGAAAAAGAAGAAGAGATAAGTATAAAAGAGGATAAACAGGGGGATTTGGGGAGGAAAAGGGTGGCAACACACGGCAAACCCAAAAAAAGAGACAATAAGAATGATATCTACCAGACAATGTAGTTTGTTTACCATAGCGTGTCCGATGCCTGAGTGCTTTGCGGAGAAGGGGGAAGAAAGGAAATTAAAAATTGTGAACAGAACGATTGTTAATTAAAAAAACCAAAAACAAAGATGAGTCGTTAGGGTGTTAGTACATTAGTCGGTTAGTAAAATGACACATTGCATGAATGATCTTGTGTTAGTTTTTCAAAAAAAAGGCACCCAACACAGAGAGAGAAGGTGGGGGAAGACAATGAGACCAGGACTCTATGGAAAACCTTGCCACCCTGGGCACAGCCAGGGAAGGACCTGTGCTCCACCATGCCCTCGTAATGCCCCGCTTCTTCCAAATACCACTCTGATCAGACCTCATCCCAGGTGGAATTAACACCATACTTACTTCCCAAGGGCTCTTCTGAATGAACACTGCCCACGTTCCCTTCCCGCCCTCTTAATACATACAAATCCCACCTGCTCTGAAAGAAAGCCCCCCCACCCCGTTTGTCAATCCACATGTAGATAAACAGAGAAATACCAATATGTTGGGATTTTTTTTTTCACTTCTGACTACATGGATGGACGATGATGATTTTCTCCTAGAACAAAAAGAACTTCACACACGTACAGATCAAAGCCAGCATAGGAGTGCATTGTGTAGTATGTCCTGAGTTTCCATTTAAAGATCCACAGCCCCCCTGATTTTTGTGAATTTGTGCAGCTGGGGCTGGTGGGAAGTAATCTTTCTTTCCTCTTGGTTTAGAATAACTGTGTCATTAGAATGCATCAAAGAAATTGGAGTCATCTTTGTCATCCCATGAGGCTACTATTTTTTTTTTTTTTTTTTTTGCCAGAATGTTTCATGTTTAAGTCTTCCTGATGCTGTTCTTAAACAATGCCTTTTAAGGTTTTTAAGCAATTCTCCTATGGAAAGTAGGGAGAATTAACTGTGATGAGAGAAGGCCAACAATTAGTTTTCTCTTTGCTGTTTTCAGACACTAAACTGCCAGAACACCCTGATCTGGGAGGCTGGAAGGTTGGCCGGCCCCAGGTTATGTGACTGGTTTAACAAAAGTGGTACAAAGAGGAAAGAATGACCTCAGTCTGAGGTAGGCAGTGGACAACCATCTCCTCCACACGCTCCCACACTGGCCCTCCACCATGCTAGGTAGGTTTTGGAACAAAGTCCACATTCCTTTCCCCCATGGAAAGTTCCAGTAAAAAACCAGCCTGTGGCCCTGTCTTGACTTAAAGGCAAAGCCATAAACTGATGACCATGAAGGAAGAAATGAGGAAAGTTCTTGTCCATTTGGTAATGAAACTCCAGGTAAACTTTCTTCAGGTGATGTTTGGCCAACAGACACCATCAACATCACCAATAAATGTGCAAGAGGCTGCCAAAAGTCAAAAATATGAAAATACTTACATTAAAATTTTATATAAAGATATTTATGAAATGATTTGAAGTTTAATTGAAATCTGATAGGGGCCTCCTACCCTTACCAATGTATCTTGTATCTTGGGGAATGCAAAAAGATTCCTATACATGGCTTCTCATGGGGAAAATAATAACCTTGGATTATTGAGCACTGAAAATATTGCAGGTGCAAAATCGACTGCTTTTCAGAGATTCGCCTCCCTTTCAACAAATTAGGTTTGCATGAAAACCCGAGTTAGGATCTCAGTGAAGTTCTGTTCTATGTGCACTTTCCCAGGTGAGATTTATACTCCTCCTGCCAAAAACGATCCCAGTGCCGCCAGGCCTCTGTCACCTCGTCTAGCAAGAGAACTGCACCGGGCTGTATCCTTGGCACCAGGGAGACTCAGTCACCTTTGAGAGAGGATGCTCAGTGTGTAAATCACGCGCACGTCACAGCGCGTCTAGCACCCAGACCATGGATGAGCTCATAATCCTACTGCAGCATAAGGTGCTTTGCATATTTAGACAGCGCACATGGCTGGGGAGGATTGTAATCACCATTTCGCAAACAGAAACAGTGCTGTAGAAAGGTCGAGGGCCTGGTCAAGGGCGTCGAGAGGAGCTGAGCCTTAGAACTGTGAGCAGAAATCTCTCAGGGTGGCTTCCCTCTAGAGACTACGACTAAACCAGCACAACTCATGTTTGAATGACAGTTTGGTTTTCCTCTCTAATTGAAATGACTTAACTGAGGCCTGATACTATTTCCAACAAGTGTTTTCAGTAGACACAAAAGCAAGCCTTTCTCAGGCAAATTGGAAACATTCTAAAGTGGCTAAGAAATATGTGGGAGGTGAGAGAGACAACAAATTGGTGAGAATCATGATCTGACGCTGCTCCCTGGCACAGGAAAAGTCTCCTGTCCACTAAGTAAAGCCTAACAGGTATTTATTTTGTACTTGTCAATCAAAGCTGAGGAAAGGTCATATTTTGGCTTTGTTTTAGTTTCTACAGCTCGCATTTATCAAGCCCTTCTTTGTTAGCAAATGGAACTTTGATGTGCGTTCTCTTGACAGTTGAGAAGTTCTCTTCTGGGGAAGTACGGGGGGAATAATGAGAGATACTATCAGCAGTAGGACTCTTTGGCCTTAAAGACAACATGGAACAGTGATTCCAAAAGGTTGACTCCACATGTGTTGAGATGACTGACATCACATGGCAACTTCCCCCCAGGTAGAATGGAACCTCCCACCCATGTGGCTTCCCTGACATATCGGAATATGGAAATGGGCGTTCTGACTACTGGACTTTTCCAGTGTGTGCCAGTCTATGCCACTTGTTCAGCATTACTAATGAGTCATACTTTTGTCAAACAGAAAACATATGCAAACATTGGTCATTTTTTTACACTTAAATGTTTACAGATGAAGGCATTGATTCAAGCATGTTGCAAAACAAAATGTGGTAAGCCTTTGCCAAAAGTTTGCACGGTGTTTTCTGATGAATAAAGGATGACTGCTATGCAACATGGCAAACGCACAAGTAGAAAAGGGAAGCAAAAGAGTCAAACAGTGACACGGAAAACGTGGCCTTGGCACCGACTAGGAGTCTAACACTCCTACTGGTGGGAGTGATAAGGTGTTACGACTACTGTCATTGTCATTATCTGTGACGGAATCACAAACAACGTCACTTGGCTAAGGCTTTCTGAAAGTGTTGTCACCTGACGGAGTTGCCTGCTTGGAACCGACCAGCGATGAGAGTCCTTGAACATGGTCAGAACCGGCAAAGGCTGCTCCAAAGCTGGCTTTTTTATTTGGGTCCTTCCACTTTCCAGGCCTCCCAGTCAACGGAAGAGTCTCGGAGGTAGAGAAGGGGCAATAAGGTGGGGCCACCGCATCAGGGAACAGAGAAACAGAGGAATTCAGAAAGATCCCAGCTAATGAATTCCAAGGCTAGAGGTTAACATAACAACAGGAAAAAATAAATAAGTAAGTAAGTAAGTAAGTTTGTGGGGGTACTAAATCAAAAGGAAGAGAAAAAAGCAGATTTTCTGGCGAGAATTAAAATTATGGCATCGCAGCAATGGCTAACTTAATTAAAAAGAAAAATGTATTTTCAAAGACTGAAAAAATCTACCAGGCTACAGAAACAAAATGCTGTTCCCTAATTGAATTTAACAATAATGTGATAAGATTCAAATGTAATTAAGAAAATGATAAACGGAAAGCAGAATAAAAGGGATGGGAGCACTTACAATTTTTATTATCTACACAACGGAATGTTTTCCTTAAATAGCAAGCACAAATGGAGAATTGAAGTATGAGGAGAAACATATTTTAATAAATTTCCTTGTGAAATTGAAAAGACTGGGAGAAAGTTAGACTTCGATCTATGCAAACCCTTTTCTCTACACCCTCTCCATCTCACCGGACACCTGCTTCAAACCTTCCTGCCCAACTCCCCTCAGCCGAGCCTCTCTCGCACTCTCTCCCCTCAGCCATTACCTGCCGGAGGTTGCGTGTCACTTTGACATCATGCCAGGCGTTGTCGTTGAACTTTCCGTTTACTGGCTCCACAATGGCCTCAAAGGCCCCGGAGCCCAGGTTAATGACCAAGGAGACTGCACCATCCTTCAGAGCCAGGTTGACATAGTCAGCCGACTTGCCCGTGTGCAGGATGAGCCCGTTACGTTGCCAGGTCTTAAAGGAGAGAGTGATCTCATCGCTGCTGCTCTGGATCGGGTTCTGAGACAGGTCGTAGCACAGGTATTCTGAACCTCGGAAAGTGGCCACATTCTCCTCCCGAGCTATGAGAAAAGAAAAAGCAGGAAACCATCAACACTTGACCTTCAAATTCAGTCTACGCATCTATCAATGAGAACATGCCCTGAGGACAATGCCCCTGCCCTCTCAAAGATGCAACCCCAGCACTACATCCAGTTCTTCCAGGAGGTTTATATCTAAATACCAGGGAAACTAGCAGAACCGGGAACTGCCGAGAAACTGTGTCCACACGAGGTGGTGCAAGAGAGCTGGCTGCCTTCCCTTTCAATTTCCCCAGCCTAAAAGCAAATTTCATGCAAAATGGTCAAGTGAGGCTTACATTGCTTTGGCTTCAGTGATGGCTTTTAAATGCTTGTAGAAGAGCTGGTCTAGAATGGATAATTAACTGTTCCAAAAAGAACTCCTTAGCTCCTGGTATATTTTATTGACCAATAACTAAAGACCAGTTGCCCCAAAAGATTTGGCTCTGATTTCTATCCATCATTAACCCACCTAACTTTGGTTTCTATGGTAGAGTCCTGAGCCCAGCAGTGGAATGTTGCTGGATTATTATGTAGGAGGTTGGACCTATGGTGATCAAGCAGGTCTTAAAAAGGGGAACAGAAAGAAATTTGGTGATATGCTTCAAGAAGACAGCAATCCCATGCTTGGACTTGAGCAAAAGGAACCACTGCTCCAGAGGTCTACTGTATTAGAGTATGGCCACATATGACCATACTATGGTCACATTCCTCTTTGCAGAGACTACGAGTTCATAGGACCAGGCTTATGTTCCACTGGAGCCCAGACTCTCCTTAAAGACCATATCCTAGACACTGGAACCCTGTACTTTCCTAAACCCTAGCATGGCTGTCCAGGCCTCTTCCCTGGATCCATCTTTTTGAGGGAAAGTCAAGTTGCAGGGTCCAGATGTCAAACTTTGAATGGAATCAATGGAGCACTGTTTGTAGAGGTATGGGCAGTGCTTGGCCACATGGGATGGCGCAGCCACACACATTTAGATCACTCCCCTGTGACACAGTGCAGAGTCAAAGGTGGGAAAGGAAAGCCAGGCCACACGCTCTGGACTGCGAGGTGGCTGGTTCTCCCTGCTCTTTCACTTCCCAAAGCAAAAGTCAAAGGAAACCAAAATTCTAAATTTGAACCTAGATTTTTTTTGTTTGTTACAAAGTTATATTTGTTGAAGCTAAGAGTGCAGGCTATCTTGTAGTTAATCATTTGTTGACTGGATTTATAATTTGGACACATGGTCTTTAGATTTCCATTTGTCTTATTGCCAACAGCCTCACTCAGGATGGCCTACTTTGTATGAGGGTTGGTCAAAAGTGGTCAAAAGCTATCAAAAGCGCCTCATTAATGGAAAGGAATTGGCAACAACATAAGTTTATATAAGCAGTTTCCCTCTAAGCAAAGTGCAGAGGAGCTACAAAATGAAGTTGAGAGAACTTGGATTTTCCTTGTCAGAAACACACTTAATGATTGTTAACCAAAGCCAAGTCCACATCCACTCAGTTCCTATCAACCATTGCAGCCCTAGGTAAGTTATCTAAGTAAAATAATAAATATTTTCTTATCATGTGGTCAAAACCATAGAAGAGACACTCTTAATGTGGATGGAAGAATACCCACTACATTTTCCTAAATTAATCATGGCCTTTGAGCTTATTAAAGCGTGAACCTAAACTTCATAGTTCACAGAATTAAAGAGATTAAAGTTTCTCTTGCATGTCCCAAACATCTACACATTGGTAACTAACAAGGATCACCAGCACAGAACTCATGCCAAATGCATTTTACCAAAGATAGCCTCAAAAAATCACAAAGCAGAAATTCAACACTGTCTGCATATTTGAAGTAGATCTTCTCCAATCCCCAGCACCCTGTCCATTGTCATGATATGTCCTCTCATTTTGGAAGAAATGGCACTGGTAAAATGCAACTGGACAAGAGACCTGGAGGTGACCCTGATCTAGAGTAGATGATGACAAATCAAATGCAGTTATCCCAATAGGCTCTTTTCCTGGAAATGTGGATGTGCACAGAAACAACTATTTTACATGTCCTTGGCCTGACACATGGTACACTAATGGGTGTTCTTCCATAAACATTTTACCTCCACCTGTGTGCCCAATGAACTGAGATAAATGAGCAAGACAAGTAGTATAGAGAAGCTTAAATTAATCACTGAGAACCCTTCAAAGGGGGAAAAACCTTGACACAAAGCAGCAAGGTACTAGCATATTATTTAATGTACTATGTGGTGCTTAATATTTTTTACATAATTAGAGCAAGGAATTTGTCAAAACAATAAATTTTAGAGCTATGACAGGCTTTTCCCTAAGTATCAGTTACTTTTTGCCTGTCAACTCTGGAAACTAGATGTTCGTTCTCTACTTCTCAAAGACCATGAAAGATTCCAGGGGGCCATGCACTGACTTAGAAGCCATTCTAGGCTGGCGCCGTGGCTCACTTAGCTAATCCTCCACCTGTGGCGCCTGCACCCCGGGGTTCTAGTCCTGGTTTGGGCACTGGGTTCTGTCCTTGTTGCTCCTCTTCCAGTCCAGCTCTCTGCTGTGGCCCAGGAAGGCAGTGGAGAATGGCCCAAGTGCTTAGGCCCTGCACCCGCATGGGAGACCAGGAGGAAGCACCTTGCTCCTGGTTTCGGATCAGTGCACAGCACGCCGGCCACAGCACGCCAACCATAGCGGCCATTTGGGGGGTGAACCAACAGAAAAAGGAAGACCTTTCTCTCTCTCTCTCACTGTCTAACTGCATGTCAAAAAAAAAAAAAAAAAAAAGAGAGAGAGAGAAGCCATTCCAAATCTTAGATAAATTAAGCCAGAAACCAATATCCTCCACTCTGTGTAAATCAACAATGCACACCAAAAGAAATGTTTCCCTCTCTCCTAAGGAATTTGCGTAGATTAAAGACAAAGGAACTCGTTTTAATGTAGGAAGCCAAAGTGTGGGTGGGAGGGGGCCAGGCTGGGGGACGACATCAGTGTAGAGAAGAAAATGTCACAATAAATAAATAATAAGTAAAACCAATGTGAGAAAGAAAATGCCTATGTAAATCGCATGCATATTTATGCTAATCTCCATGCAAAAATACCAAGCAAGATTGTATGGCGCTACGTGCCTTCTTTTGCAAGCATCTAATGAAAACTACTACAAAAGTTCACAACCTTCCCAATCTCTTCACTCAGAGATGAATTTTCTCAGTTTACCTCTTTGGACCAGTGAGGTTACCAACGGCAACAACAGCCCAAGTGCATGGATATCTCCTTGCAACAGTTGTCCATCAACAGACAACTGAAAGCTCATCTTGAAATCATATTTTAGGTAAAGAAAGTACTTTTTCATTTTTAATTCATAGTATACTTTCCCCTTGACCGCTGTGGGGAGCAACAACCCTGGTAGGGCATGGCAACAGCAAACAAAGGGCTATAAAAGAAAGACAGGAAAGACCTTGAAGAAATTATTCTTTTGCACACTCTCACAACTGACATTATTTTGTTCCTTAGACCCCAGCCTATTTTAATTTCCTTCCAGGAGCTGAGACCCAAGCACATTCTTATCACCTTCAGGGTGAACATAAGTAAAAAGGAGAAAACCCAGTTGTGACAAATTTACATTTCTAAGCTCATTCCAGTTTCTGAGTTCTCCACTAGAAAAACCCAGCAGTGCCCCAGATCTGTTTGCTAGCCTTGGAATTTACATGGAGAATGAGGTTGAAAAGACAATGCAATCACCTTGTATGTATTCAAGCTAAACAGGTGGAGAGAACCAGTGCAGAGGATTATGTAACACAGCACACAGCATCAAGCTCCAGCTTGGGGAAGAGCAGGCACTGACAGAGCTAATGGACTACTTAGATCCATGGAAAGTATATCACCCCAAAATTGACAATCACTGGCCATGAGTGTTAAAATAAAAATGTTATTCTCATCGCACGAAAAGCAGAGCTCAACTCTGTGTGACAACAAATCATTTATCCATTATTTGTAAGTGTCCAATTGATTAAACATTAGATGCAATCCAGTTATATGCAACTCAAGATTTTAAATCAGTTATTATGAGATATGTAGAGTACTGATCTTTTGAACGGCTTGCCAATCAAGGTACCAATCTATACATAGCATTAACTAGCAACTACTCGATTCTGTTTTACCCTCTTTGTTCTACTCCAGAAAATACCCAACCAATGCCTTAAATACTAATAAGTTGATTTCTTTGAGAAATTGCAAAGCATATTAAAATACTCAGGTGACACTGACATACAGTACAGTCTAAAAAGTGTGGGCCTGTGCTTTCTAACGGTCTGGTTTCTTAAGAACCTCAACTAGGCTTTGAGATTTAAAAAATTGGACTTTATTCTGAAGTCTACCATTTCATAGTTTCATTAAGGATGGAGGAGTCCAACCTGTCCTTTTTAAAGATTTACAATCTTTTATAAGGAAATTTAACACCTTTTCTACATGTTTCCTTGGACTAGCTCAGCCAGGAGAGCCATGAAATTCTAGAGTGAGGTTTGCATTTTCTGGAGATGAGCAGAAGCAAAGGTTCCGGGCAGAAATAAACTAAGGAACTGAGATACAGACAGATGAGCAAACCAGAGATCATAGGAGGAGGCCAAAGTTTGGATGCCCAAGACCCAAGAGCAATCATGGAAAACCAAAGTTTGTCCTGAGACAAAAAACAAACAAACAAAAACAACAACAACAAGGGGAAAAGACCCAGCATGAGTCAAGAAAGGCATGAAAATAAGAACATGTCAGGAATGAATGGATAGACTCCAGGGCTGGCTGATCCTCCACCTGTGGCGCCGGCATCCCATATGGGCGCCAGGTTCTAGTCCCGGTTGCTCTTCTTCCAGACCAGCTCTCTGCTGTGGCCTGGGAGGGCAGTGGAGGCTGGCCCAAGTGCTTGGGCCCTGCACCTGCATGGGAGACCAGGAGGAAGCACCTGGCTCTTGGCTTCGGATTGGCGCAGCGCTGGCCGTGGCAGCCATTTGGGGAGTGAA